AAAGATCACAATGTTTTGTTGGTTTTTTTTTCTCCCAAACTTCCAAGAAATCTCCCAAAATTTCACTTTTGTTTTATGTTAATTTATGGTCTGATTTTTGGGTGGTCCTGTTTGGAGCCAGGAGCTGGACTACTGATCCTTATAGGCCCTCTCCAACTCAAGATGTTCTATGATTCTATGAATTAAACCTCAAAAGCAGCAGCTGATCAACTGTATACTCTGAATACGCAGGAACAATTTTATTAAATTAATAAGCAAACTGCTTCAGAGATAAGCAATGTGCCAGATCTGCTCTTTTTCAGTGCTGGGTTGACAGAATCTGCCTTTTTGTGATGGGGATTAATGCAGCATGGTATTTTTGTGCAGGAGTGGAGCTATTCGGTGTTCCTAAGCAACAGATTAGCATAAACTGAAGAAGCAAATAAAAATGCTTTTCTCATCATTTACTGACCCACCTTATTAAAGTAAGGGACCAAAGGCAGCAGGCAGCAGCTGACAACCCTTTATGCAACAGACCTGACGTACAGCTCAGCTTTCAAAAAGCAGTTTGCATTTGGAATAAACAAGGCTCAGTAAACATGAAAGGGAAAACTAAAAATTCCAGTGCTGAACTGTGTTGCAATTCCACCCGACAACACAGCAAATCCCAGAAGGGTCACATCAGGGAAATGGTTCACCTAGAACCAGGCTTCTGAGTGCACACAGCACTTGACTAACTCCCCTCCTCTTTCTCAGGGCAGCGGTCACAGCCTCAAGCTGCTGGAGTTAAAGGAGCATTTGGACACTGCACTCAGACACCGGGTTTGAATTTTGGATGGTGCTGTGTGGAACCAGGAACTGGTCTTTATGTTCCTCCTGGGTCCCTCCCACCTCAGAATATTCTATGATTCTGTTCTTTTCCCTTCACACAATTCACCTCACCCCTGTTGTTTAATCTCTTCTCCTTGACTTGCTGTGCTGTCCCACTGCTCCACCTGCTGCAGCTGTCCTCAGTGCATTTTCTCCATGCCTCCATTTCAGATTCTTCCACAGCTGCAGGAGCTCTGCTAACCAGTTCCTGCTGTGCCACATGGATGTGCTCAGAGGCAACACTGCATGGCACTGCTTTGGGAATGACTAAGAAAGGTACACCTGTGTATGGAGTGTATGCAGTGACTGGTAGGCAGAGCACCTGTCTGCCAGTTACAGATGAGGGAGCCACAGGGTCTGAAAGGCCAGCCTGAGTCCTTAGATGCTAATACAAAAAACAACTAAGTTTTCAACCTTATTTCACCAGAGTAGAGGAAATAAAACAAAACATAAAATATTGTTGTTGTTTTTTTTTTTCCAGGGGCTGCGCTCTAAGACATTTTCCAGAAAGAAAGCTAATAGTCTTTACTAGTGTTGTAAGTTTTCCTTTTCCTTTAAATGGGCTCATCACCTGATGAGTTTTATTCTTTCATTTTCATACAGCAAATAAAAATATGCAGTCTCAGTAAAAATGCTTCATCGAAAGCTCTACTTATGGCATCACCCAAAAAGTATCTACATGTGAATCTTGAGCAATGTATCCTAACAGTTCACCTGAACTTAACGTTCAAAATCAATAGGAGAGTGTGCTGAAATTAGTAGAGGTCAGGGAACCCACTTGAAATAACTGGGGCTGTACCGAGAGAAGAACAGAAGTCAAGCTCAGGTCTATAGCATTTTTTTTTCCTGCCAATACAGTGTCCATGCCCTCATCAGAACTGAAGTATGTTTAAGTATTGTGTAGCAACACTACATTTTTATCAAGATCTTGGAGACAGATCTCCTGCATAGCTGTAGTGCATTAAGGTCAGCATTTCTGGGAGCTCCATGTCCCATTCTACAGCTGGAATCCTACCTAGCATGTCAGCTCTTGAAATGCATGTGCTAACACAATGTGCTGGTTTTGAAAGCTGGCTATTTTTACTTAAAAACAACAGCACTGCTTTACTTGCATTCATTCATAAGAGCATTACAGAGAATCAATTCTGGTAATTATTTGTGAGAGACAGTCATTTAAAAAGTGGTAAGTCCACCCTTTCTCTAAAGTATTAACATACCTTTGGGTGGAGGAAGGGAAGGAGAAAAGGCATTTTGTGCTCCAAATGAGTAATTCTTGGGTTTACTAACTTGTTTGCTCATTCTATTACAGACCTACACAAAGCTGTTCTATGAGAGGCTGCTGAGAGAGACACCACTGAACTGGAAAAAATCTAACTCCAAGTAGCTGCTCTGAGTATGAAGTAATTGTGCAGCTCCACTTGGAACCACAGAACAGCTGCTTGGCCCAAAGATCATCACACTCACCTTTATTTCTCTAAGAGAAGGAACACAAGTCACACCAATGCATCTTACGTTTGTTATATCACTACAATGACAGATGTTGATTAGTGCAAGCACACTCACAACAAGCAAGTTGTACTCTGAGCTATTGGTACCACACAGCAAAGTAGTGTACCCTGATTCCTACAAACATAAGCTTCTAGGGACAAATGTACAGCACAGAAGTGTCCTAAGCTGATTTCTGTAGCTTAAAATACCATTTCTAAAGTCTCAGTGAGTTTTTCTGGGTACACAATCCTATTTCACAATGTTGAAATGCCCTTCTTCTCTGTTCCCAAGACAGTTACACACACACACACACACACACACAAAAGCCAAATATATGTGGGTTTTTTACACAGTCAAGTAACAACATAGCCAGATTTTGAAGTTGGACCGGATGATCGCAGAGGTCTTTTCCAATCTTGGTGACTCAAAACCCAACAAAAAAAGGAATGAGGTTATCTGATCTATCAGAGGCCGCCTATGACAACTTTCATATTCTAAATATCATAAGTTTCCAAATCTGTTACATTTACTACCTGCTCTCAAATTCTAACAAAACTCAGAAGCATTTAAAGGAATCACAATCCCACGCACATGCATGGATTCATCTGAAGTACCTCATTGGTGCACCATTCACACTTAGCCTGTGTCAAGTTCCTGCAGTTTCCCCACAAAAACAAGCACCAAATCTGGTTCAGGAATAATTGCTTACTAAGCTGGGGCTTGTCATACTAAGTACAGCTATTTAAGATCATACAACAACAGTTCAGAAACCCACACTGTCATTGTTGAAAAAGAAGCCAAGTCAATCATGTGACTGACTTCTGCTATGACATAACGCGCTGCCCAACACTGAAGTTTACTTTCATTTGGTACAGCAAAGGAACCACAAGAAGAATTTGCCCCAAGAATGCAGAGCAATGACAGTAAAATGAAGCTGTCTTGACTCACGTATAGAATATATACGGAAATTATACTAAAATTCATTTTCTTTTGCATAACAGTGTAAGTGATCTTAGCAGCTTTCAGGCCAGCAGATGAGTAAAATTGAGTCTGAGGAGCTTTATGTGGGCTTTTTGTTCTGCTTTATGTAACTTCATAGCTCCCATACAACTCCTCCGAAGCTTTCAATAAACCTCAGTCTGAGTATCTCAAATCTCTGAGAAGCAAAACAAGAAATAAAAGTCTGATGATCCTGAGAAACAGGTTATGGAAAGACTGTGACAACCACTCTCAGGAACCAGTCGCCTTCCAAAGACAGCTCTCTCTCCGAGAGAATAAACAAACCACTAAGCAAAACCAAGGAGCACATGAGACAAACTTTTAACATAAATGATGCAGCTGGAACTGATATCCGTTAATTACATGATTACACTTTAAGGTCTATGCAAGTTAAGGGAGTTTGTAGGTACAAGTCCCGGGGCAGATTTCTACCTAAAGCTAACTTAAAACCCAATAATTTTATTAATGAATACTTTAGATACCGAGTGTATGTCATACAATATAGAAATACAATTTCTTCTATGTAAAACAAGCATAGAGGAATCAAACAATGAAAAATTCAGACTGTTTGTGAAACATCCCCATTCTACAACACCGATTTTTTTAAAAACAATTTTTGTAACTCAGATTCACTCAGTAGATAAATGATTCTGTGAGCTCTGGACATCACGTTGAGTTGGAAGGGACTTTTAAAGGTAGTCCAGCTCCCCTGCAATGAGCAGGGATCGCCGTCAGAAGCTTTAAGGTAACCCTGCTGGGCACAGCTCAGACGCTGCTCCATTCTCCTCCTTGTGACCCTCAGCAGTGTCCGTTCAGCACCCCACATTTTGCAGGCTGCTTCCGAGCACCACCTCCTCTTTCCTGGTCCTGGCAGCTACAAAAATACTGCTGCCCGCACCAGCCAGACCTCACAGACTTCTTGTTTGAGAACGCTTAGAAAGCCTTTCGCTGAAAAAGCCAGGGTTTTGGAAAGGATGCAGGGAAAAGTGAGATAAGGACAAGAAGCAGAAGAGCGCTGATGTCAGGACCAGCACCAGTTTCAAGCACGCAGCTTACAAACCCAGTCTGAACATAAAAAAACTCTTTGTAGAAACGCAATTGTTAAGCACGGTCCAGAAAACAGAAAGTTGTCTCACGATAATTATCAGAACCTCCGCTCTAAAAAACACACAGTAACGCACGGGGAAGTTTTCAGAATATAAATCGTAACAAGCAAGCAGAACGCAACAAGGACCAGAGCTGCAATTAGAGCCCAAGCTTCGTGCCCCCCACAATCACCGTAACGCTGTGTGACCTCTAACTAAGGAAAAGCCCCCCCAGACAGCTTTCCTCCCCGCCGTGCAGCCACAGGGCTCCCTGCTGTACATATCGCGCACATGCCCGAACTCTGCCCAGACCCCCCGCCGAACGCTGCTGGAACACCGCCCCCATCGTGGCAGCGGGAGCTTACGGCCTCCGCCCCAGCAGCCCCAACCCACAGGACGGCACACAAAACCCAGGGGCGGACACCGGGAGGAGCGGCGAGACGCGCCCCGAGCGCAGCGCTCCGGACCGGGCAGGGGGCGAGGCCGCACCCGAAGCGCCGCCGCCGCCGCCGCCGCGCTGGGCCCGGCCGGGCCAGGCCGCTCCGCCTCCCGGGAAGCGCTGCCGCGGAGGCTGCTCACCCGCTCGGCGCCGCCGGCTCCCGGGAACGGCGCTGCCCGGCGGCGGTGACCCGTCCGGGGCTCGGCTCGGCTGAGAGCGGCGCTGGGCCGGCTGCTCGCTCCTGGGCCGCGCCCGGCGGGGAGTTTCCTGTATGAGTCACCGGACTGGGAGCCGCGCAGGGAAACACCCTTCCTGCGACCCAGCCCCTCCTCCCGCCGCCCGTCCCAAGCCCGCCGCCCCTTCCCTTCCTTCCCACCCGGGCCAGCCCCTCCTCCCTCCCTGCCCGCCGGCGTCTTGCTCCGACAACGGCGGCTCGTTTCGTTGGTATACGAGAGGCCGTGCCCTGTTCGAGCTGCACTACGAATGGCGGAGGGGACAGCGGTGCTGGGGCACCCCGGTGACATTTGTCTGGGTGGAAAACTAACGAGGTTTCTTTCCTTTGCCTCTCCGGCAGGACGGTGATCCCAGCAGTAAGGGTGTTGGTTCTAACCTCATGGAACCAACACAAACCCGTCTAAAAGTATTTCCTCTAGGTGGTGCTCATGTATGGCTTTTTTTTCGTAGCTGAAGCGCTGCTGTTAATTGAAACCGAGCCAAACCAAGAGTATCTATTTCCCCACCTTTGATTTTTCTATAAAACACAACGAACACATAAAGTACTTCCTCCATTTAATACGTGCCTACTTTTTTCAGCGCGCTCCTATCTGCAGTTCTGCTTTCCTTCAATTTCTTCATCCTTCATCAAATGAACGTGGAAGCATCAGCACAATGTGAAACTGCTGCTTCTTCCTTAAAGGTTGTCAGGATCGCTGTGAGTGAGGGTAGGCCGGGTAAACAAACATGCCTTGTGTAGGGGTTACTGCCAGCTTACAGCTTGGAAAGTTCCAGACCATCTTGGTATTTCCCCAAAGCCTGGTTGCTTGTAATTGGACTAAGTTGTACCCAACATTTTTCACTATTGAAATCCTCTACAGTCATTAGCAAACGAGGCAGTATTGATGTAGCAAGCAACTTTCTGCCTTTGCTTTCAACAGCTGATGGTTTGGGTTTGCTGAGAACAGAACAATTATTCCTTCAGTTGGTGTATATATATATATATATTTTTTTTTTTTTAAGTGAGTTTCCATTCTACTAAGCTTCCTTAAATAGCCTTGTAACAGCCTTTGGAAAGTGGGAATAAGTTGCAAAGCCCATCATTCTCAGTACTTCATCTACTGCCTTATCGAATTATTCCACCCGTTCCACATCATCAAGAATTCCGACAGTTTGTGGAGAAATTCTGCATCATTTCAGACTGTTGCCATTTCACCATGTTCCTGGCATGTCTTCAGTTATTTTTTCCAGTGCTGTACCCAGAGCTGCAATCCAGGGCCGCTCTATTAAAGTTTATTTTCTAGGATGGGGTACTTACTCTTCTCTGATAGGATATTTCCATAATATATGTTGGGTGCGTACGTTATAGAATTGTTTGCATTGGACGGGAGCCTTAAAAGCCATCTATTTTAACTCCTCTATGAAGAACGGGAACACCTACAGCTACATCAGGTTGCTCAGAGCCCCATCCAGCCTGACCTTGAATGTCTCCAGGGATGGGGCATCCAGCACAGCTCCGTGCAACCTGTTTATACTGACAGAATGAATTTCACCCATCATAGCCCATGATCCCTAGGCTTCTTAGCTCAGTGAAAACTGCAGAAGACAACCAGAGCCAGTTGCTTCCATTTCTAGCTGCTACTGCTCAATACACTTCATCATAAACCTAGTGCAGTGAGGTTGTTAAATTAAAAAAAGAAAAACTCACCTTCATAATGAAGGATTGGTTTCATTTCCTTGTCCCAAGTGAGCACAGAGTTGACAGCAACCCTGTCTTAGTGCAGCACTTGGCCTACATCAGCACTGCGACCTCAGTTCCTAAGCCACAAGTGAAGCAAGGGAGACTTGAAACATGCTGTGTCTGCAAGCACTAGACAGGGAACTTACTCCAAAGCTAAAAGCTCCCAGTGAGATCTGATCTACAGCATTTTGCCTCCAGCAAATGCTGGAGTGATACTGCTTAGGCTTCTCGGGAGTACAGCTCCCACCTTTGCCAAAAGTCAGCCAGTGCCAGGAGCGGCTGCTTCACCCTATCCTAAGGATTGGCTGACATCCCAGGGTCTTCCTATGCTCTTTCTGAAGCATTTGAGTGATTGAAGTATTTCCCCACTAGTGGAGCATTCTGCTCTTCACTGACATTCCCATACTCAAATTTATACCAACCCATGAAGTCAGATAAAAAATGCTGATATTTGATTACATGCAGCTTTTTTTGCCTATCAAGATCTTTTCTACTTTTTTTTGTATATTGCAATCATAGAATGGCCTGGGTTGAAAAGGACCACAGTGATCATCTAGTTTTAACCCCCCTGCTATGAGCAGGGTCGCCAACCACCAGACCAGGGTGCCAGAAGAATTAGAGGACAATCCCATTTCACCATCTGAACATCTACACTATCATGTAACATGAGGCATACTTATCAGTATTACATTCTGGAATGCCCCCATGACTCCTTGCTTTCCATTTTTGTGCAATTTAAGTACTGCAATGACTGTTCTTGATAAAGGGTTTCAGTGGGTCTTCATGACCAGCTTCTCCTTTTACTGTATCATCCCTCTTACTCTTGCACCACTGCAGGACCTTCTGGGCCTGGCTAAAGTTATACATATCTACATATACCTGATCATCACCAGATGTCCTACCCACTAGAAGGTAGGTGTGGCCTCTATGATGCCAATGGCTAGAATTAGAATCTCAAACAGACCTTTCTCGGGTGGTATTTATTTAAACTCAGTATTTAACCTGTCACCATTATCTTTACTGATATCTATAACACCACTGTGTTATGCTCCTGACAATTTTTGTACCTTCCATCTTCATCAGATGAACACCAGACAGTAAGACAGCACAAGCTTAACCCAATTCCCTGCAGATCAGAGAAGGACTTTTTCCAATGCTCTATGCTAGCTACGCTAGCCACAGATACCCACAAGACTACTGCCTGAATTCCAGCTGGGTTTGTTCTATTTTGAATTCCTTTCTTTCGGCTGTACAGTATTTATCCAAGCTCTATGAATGAAAACCATCTGCAGAAGCCCAGATGATTTCCATGTCATTCCATGTGAAAGAAGAGGTTAGACAGAAGTCTTGAGGCCTTGCTTACGTGTTTCTAAGATGCTTATGTACTCCAGTTTTACACCTTTCCACCCAGATATCTTAGTGATTAAGTTTAATAGCATTCCTACCTCTCAGTTTGAGGTGCTGAGTCCATACACTGATCTTTTTATCCTCACAAGGGAGATAATACAACACAGAAACGCGCTATGATCTGTCATGATCCAACACAGAAAGGTTGTTATGAAGCCATCACGAACAACAGCCACAAGGACATCCATGCAAAACTACAAAGAAAGGTGATAATTGTCTCTGAATTAATTTAAAAATAAACCTACACCTGCAGCAAAAAGTCAGACAGCTTTCCACACTCTAAAAGACTGAGGGGAAAAAAAATCTGACATTAGGAGTCAGTACACACTTGGTTTTGTATCAGATATGACAAATGGTTTAAAGCAGAGCAAGACTATGGAGCTATTCCATACTCCCACACATAAAACAGAGCTGTTGCTGGAGATAGGCAGAGCACTTGGAGAGTGTTTGCTGTGGCCATGTCCCATCTCTATCATGCAAGCAACAGCTTAAATATAATCCCTCACTTGGCCTCATGTAAGGCCCATCTAGTGCTGGTCATTTTATGAGTTATCTAGACGCTACGACCAACAGCCCCATACAGCTTCCCCAGTAATAAAAGCAGTGCAGCAACAAGCCACAGCATGATCCAATAACTACAAATTGCAGAGATGTGGGAATGTTTCTCTATAAGCATAGAAAGAAAGCTGGCAACATGTAAATCTGTAGAGTGAATAAGATTAAAATGCAGTTGGGGGGTGGATATTTTTATGTTTTTTATGGGCATGCAATTCAGAGATGGTATCTTTAATCCATGCTGCCAAGGAAACCATGCAATCAGCAACTGCTTGTTAACTTTTTGCTATCAATAGCTTGACACAGCAAAAGTCCCCAAGGACCCACTTAATTAGGAGGTTATTAAACTAAACAACAAAGAAAGCGTTAGAGAATTTCTGAAATCTGTTCTAAAATGGACCTAGATACAATAGAAGATCACAGGAAAGAGAAGGAAATGGAAGGGAAGTACTGAGGCTGACAGATAAGGGCCTCTACACTAACTTCTGACAGCGCACACAGAAGTTAGAGAGAAAAAAACAGACTTGCAAATAAAGCGTAGATTTAACTGTGACAGCATCCAATAATGCTGTTTGGTTTTTTTCCCAAAGATTCTTAGACATCAGATATAACATCTCACCTTGAACATTATAATTTTTCTAAGACCATTTAGCCAGATCCTTACTTTTAAGTTCCTAAATCCATGCTTGCTGTTTCACCCAGATTAGTGCTCTTTATAAAATCATTCACTCCTCCATGCACGTCATTTAAGTACTTGTTTTTCAAGAACCCAACGCCTTCTTGTGGCTTAGCATGAAACTGGATAACTTGGCTGAGAGGAGGATCTAACAGTATTTTTGTTTTGTAGTTTGCATTTCTCCAGGACGAGAACAATCTGGCTGCAGCTACAAATCAGCCTGAGCTTCCTCTCATTCAATAATTCATGAAGACATTATCCCCATAATCAAGAATCATTTTTTTTAAATAAGCTCCTACTTCTAACTTTAGGTTTAGGTGTCTCAGGCACATTTCTGTCATAGGACATACCTTTTTTCACTTCAGTACACACCGACCTTTTAATATTATGAAACCAACAGCCATAAGCATAAAAAGATCAACTTTGCAAAATCAATTCCTTGAAATTTTAAAATCTGCCACCTAGTGGGCTTTTCTTTTTTTTAAACAACAAAAGCTTTAAACCAGAAGTTATCCCTTAGAAGCTTAGAAAGATCAGTTTTCACATGCTCAACATCCCAGAAGTGCAAATAAAGCTATACATATAAATGCAACATTTCCATGTTGAAGAGAAGGATCCCAAATTTAAGATTCAAATCAGAGATA